AAAAATAAAATATTTAACAAGCATTTGTAATCGAAGAAAATATAAAATATTGCAGATACTTTGGTGTTATTTGATTTTTTATTTATTTGATCGTTTTTAAATATTTGTTTTTTAGTTGTATAATTTTAATGACATGCATGTTTAATGATGTATCATTATAATTATACATAATGATATAGGTGTGTAATGTAAATGATTTACACAATTAGATCCTGCGTATGAATCAGTTCTCGAAACGCCTTATCGCCGGAGGCGCTAATTTATGCTATGAATACTAAAACCATGCTTGCATATCGCAGAATAAATAACAAAGTTACATTTAGTAATCTATATTCAGTTCCGATCTAGTTGTGAATCACACAAACTGGAAATTTTTAATGTATTCAGAACTATAAATAAATTATATATAATATAATTATATATAATAGACAAGCTAATAAAGATAAGCTAATAGAGCCATTCAAGAGAAGCGAGATAAAATCAGAAGCAGGTATTTCAAAGAATGTAAAAAATTTCGAAACATTCGCAAAAGACATCATGGAGAAATAACGGATAAGAAAGATAGTGTACGTATATATATATTTATGCGTCACTAAAATTGCTTAAGTTAATGCAAGAAGTGGGAAATGTCATTCAATGCTCGCTTGGCAGAGGTTGTCGGGATCCATCTCCGTTGAATGCCAACTGTCAGGCAAGTGATATTTCAGGCAATCAGAATGCCTGAGACGGAGAGAGATAAAACAAATGACGATTGACGCTTTAACGGTTGATATTCAGCAGAGATGAGTCCGAATGGACCCGATATCCGCCAGGCGAGGGTTAATTTAGTTCTCTATACATTTTGCATACAGTGCATCACAACAGAGAGAGAGAGAGAGAGAGAGAGAGAGAGAGAGAGAGAAAGAGAGAGAGAAAGAGATAGAGAGTGCCCTTTTAAGCCGGCTTCAGACGACACAGCCAATGTATGCCAATGTTGAATGAATAGCATTGGCTATGTGCCGGGTTAATGTTGGTCATTTCCTTTGATGTTTTCTCAAGTCCAGCTCCACACTGACATCATAAATGTGTGCTTTTGGCTACGATGGAGGTTTTTTGATATGTCAAAGGAAACAGGATAGCATTGTCTAATACAACATTCATATTTCAATCCAGATAGTACCTATATAAACAACAGTTATTATGTAACTTTTATGACTCTGATCGGAATCGGAAACTCCAATTTCCCAGCGGTGAATTTCCGATCGCAATTCCGCCCGTGTCTTGGGTTATTATGAATCTTGTCGAAGTCGGAATAAAATCGATTTTTACCTTTAATAAATAGAAACGCAAAATTATATATGTATGAAGTTACAGTAAAAAATAATAAATATTTATCATCGTAACAACTTAATTAAAATTTAAACGTTGCGATATAAATGCAATTTTTTCAAATTATTTTTCAGAATTATTGAAATTATTGAAAATATAAATGTAACTTTAAAAATTCCACTTGGACGTGAATATTTATTCCGATCGGAATTCATTTTTCACGAGGTGTCGGAATTATTCCGACTGTTTCGGAATTTATCCGAATATCTATAAAATACAATTAACAAAGAAACAGAATTATTTCAATTCAAAATTTCCAACTAATAACTGTACTGCGCATATTTTATAAACTAAATACTTTGCAATGTATTGTTTATTTATAATTTATAGTAAAAAAATGGATACTTAATAATTTATTGATTTTTCGTAAAATATGCAATAAATATGAGACAGCTCTTAAAAAAATTAATAAATAAGAATAATTCCAACTAGGAATCAATGTAATTGCCGATCAGTGCTAAGAAATAGTTATTATTTTAATTAGAGCCAGTTTTATAATTGGCGTTTAACATATAAATAAAATGTGTGTTTTTTCTTCTTTTTTAAATTGTTTAAGTGTTAAAGTTTAAGATTATTAAACTTTAATCTCCCATTTTTGACATTATATGACGCTCTCATCCATCATTTAAAATGATTGAGGTAAACATTATAGACCTTTTGTGCAAAAGTTGTGCTTTTATTGATACACGATATAATTTTATATATGTGTCTAGGTTAAAAAAATATTTCCAGAAGAATAAAGCAGAGAGTTTGTACGCAAGCATTATCTGTTTATCGCGACGCGCTACTTGACAAAACCGAGTACGAGTTGATATATATACGATGTTACAGGATGTGTGATATGCGTACGACGCAGTGTTTGTTAGTCGTGTAAGGGCTGAATGATAAGACGCGTCGAACCGGCATATCTATGTATTTTGTATTTTTCACAAACAGGTTGTTCCACATAGTTATTTGGCGCTATTATCAGTCGCTTGAATTTATGAGACTTTGGTTTCCAGTTATTAATTAGACTGATACACAAACATTTCCGCTTTTAAAAGCAATTGTAATAAATCTTTAAACATTGTAAAAAACAGATATATCACTGACTTTCAACTACAAGGAGGGCGAGAAGAGAGATAATTGTACGAAAACAAGTAAAGTTGAAAAAACAAGCGCGGATATTTTTATGTGTTAGAATTATTTATTTACAAAAAAAACATGTAATCTTTTCATATCAAAACTTATCGCAATTATACACATTTTTTATTAATTTATAAAAATTTATTGTTTTGTCAACATTTAATTCCTTAAAATTTTATTGATTCGTCAATATTTGATGCTAAATTAAAAGTTAAAAAATTTTAAACTTTTAACTTTGCGAGAAAAAACCACACATACACGCGTAGATCTTTCCTTTTATTTTATGATGGATAAAATAATTCTTTCATTCTTTTCAGTACTTTTTCGATTTTAAACTTGAGTGGCTCTTTTAATTCTGTTTCGATGAAAATATGAGTAAGAAACATTAAAAAACTCATATTATAATAACTCATATATAATTATTTTAAATTTGTGTTTTAAAAATGTTTTAGCTCTACCTAAATGAAAAATCATGAAATTCTCAGAGAAAATTTTTTTCAAAGTTTACGTGGACATTTTGATAACACAGAAACAATTTTTTATTTTTTTTTTTAGAAGTAAAAATAATAATTTGCACAACACAAGTATGATATTAAAAGAGAAAGGAAAGGAACACGTGCCATATTAAAGTTATTAATCACAAAAGTTATTAAGCGCGACCGCGCTGCAGATTATTATGTAGCGTTAAAATGTTTATTTTTCTTGTTTTTAAATGCTTACATTTGATACTGCTGAACAAAATGTTTGTGAAAAACGACGAAAAAAATACTGCATTTTATTTTAAAGTTTAACCGGTGTGATTATTGCGGATTATTATACAGCGTTACATTTTGTCCCGTATTTTCTAGCTTTTCATTTTTAATGCAAAAGGGTATACGTGTATTGCGTCCAGAAAGAATGGACTATGATCCGCTGTCCTTCTTATACGAGAAAAACCAATCGTTCAATTAACTTTTTTATTCGTTCGTTCTTTATCTTCTTTCGATCTCGTCGGCCTTCTCGATACACGAGTATATTCCCAAGAGTACGGATCACCCTGTTGAGATACGTTATGTTTCAATATCACGTATAATGGAATCTCTTTCAAATTACAAAGTTAACCTTTTGCAGGTCTAATATTCCTCAGTCATTGATAAGGGCAAGTATCAAAGTAAGGGCCAAGTATCAAAGTAGTTTTCTCTTTTTGCAGGATAAACTTAAAATAAAACAAAGTGAAAAGAATTACAAATGCAGCAATTCGAATAAGTTTAATGGAATTTTCTAAATAAAACTAAATCAGAGTTTGGTAATTACAACGTCACAATAAGAACAAATTAATACTTCTTTAAAAAATTCACGCATGATCCTTAATTATATATTTATAATAAAAAAGATGTTTATTATTGTACGTACAGGAAACAACAAGGTGAGACAGGTTGTCATCATAATTGTTGATCAAATTGAATAAAACACATATCTTAACACATAAACCGGTTATTTATAACAATTGCAATATCTTAACAGCTCAGAATTCAAGTCGAAGAATACGTACGTTAATTAATAATTAATTAATAATTAGTAATGTTGAGCACCGTAATCTAGTTCTGGCTCTAATTAATTCCTTAACATTTTAAATTATTAGATTAATAGAAGAGCCCATATCGAAATTATATTTTTTTATTATTAGTATTATATAGAAAAAACAATAATGAGAAAAAATTATCTTGACAGCGAATGTAGCAGATATCGAATTAACATGATACAAATGATAAGAAAAAATTAATCAAGCCAATATTTAACATAAAATCTTATCATTGAATTGAATTGTTTTTAAAATCTTATCATGCACTTAATAAATTGTTTCTCGTTAGAAGACTTTATCACAATTGTTTTTAAATTTCTTTCAAAAATTTATTTGCCTAATGCAAAAGTTGTGAAAAGCAAATTTATATCATTTATATTTATATTCTCCTATAAATAAAACAAACAAAAGCATAGTTTTTAAAAGTATTGTATATACAGTTGAGATTTAAAAAAATAAAATATGAACATTGTGCTATTGACAGTTTTATAAAATAACAATATTATTTTTTATTTCGTACTTCGATAAATAAGCGCAATCGAGTATATTGACCTGGCATTTTTTAAGCAAAATAAATACGTCTATGTTTCCCCCGACGTTATTTGATTCATTCTATTTTATCAATATTAAAACGACACATCATCTGTATCAGGTACATATTTCAGAACTTATTGGCATCATTACGTTGCGATACTTCTAAATGATCAATATCAGTGCTATCTTAATATCATTTTCTTTCCTTGAACTACATTCTTTGCCGCTATCGGTCTCGTTTGGTCGAGTTTATCTTTCATCGGATAAACAGCGGATACTAGCAGGGTGGCGCGTGCTTTTCTTCCGAAATTTGCATAGTGCGCACAGCGAGCGGCATAATCACTGGCCAATCGGGGGAAAGCGCCCACTCGCTCAAGCAGCGTTATCGACGAGCGCGCGCGCAGATATAACCGATCGCTGGTTCGCACGCCGTTATAGCGTCCGAGACACGTCTCGAGGGCAAGAACTTGGCCGATTTTTTGCCGACGTCGATCACGCGCGCGCTCGCACGATCGGCTTTCACGATTGGCGAATCGCCGCTCGCACCGTCGCACGCGCACGCGATCGACGTGCTTTTCGAAAGTCGCCCGGGTCAAATTAAGTAGCTAGCAGCAGATATGACCGCCGTGATTTTGGTTATCTCCCTCGCGATCGCGTTCAGCGATGCGGCTTCGATCGGATACGTCACCTCTGACACCTCTCCTGGACCGAAAGATCTCTGCGACAGGTGAGTGAAAGTGCACTATCGAGTTCCGCGCTCGTAAACCAGACTGAACCATTATACGCTTTTCCCCGTTTTGTTTCACATAAAATTAATCAAAGGTCAAGTTTACGAATTGTTTATTTACAATTACTTGCAATTAGTTCCGCCATTGTTTTTCGAGATATATACTTGTTCAGAACGCTATACTTTTATGTTCCACTGTTTTTTTCTTTATGGCTATTTTTAACTTTTATCAATTGATTTGAAGAAATTACTCACATAGTGATAACAAACTATACAAAGCAATCTTGATACAATTCAAAATCGTGTAATTACACAAGCAATTTTTGTGAACTTTATTTCGTCAATAATCTTTGTTTATTGACGAAGCGTTTACATATTCAGATAATCCACAGAAAAATTGTATCTTCTCGTCGTTAAGGTCGTTAAGAATACTAATCAGAGAAAAATTGCTTTTTAATACCAATATGCGATATGCCATGAAGTATCAAATTCCAATTATAAAATTATACTCTAAAAAGAACCTTTAAGGTCGAAATATGTAACCGGAACTTTACAATATATCGTGCAAATAATTATTTTATAATTTTAATAGGTTTTGCATATTGATATTACTTCTATCTTTTAAATGAAAATTTATTAAATACAAAATACTTGCAATGATTTTAAATAAATTTCATGGCCATAATCTATGTGCAATTATTATAATATAAATTTTAATAAATTATAATTTTATTGTTATTAATATTAAACAAGTTGAAAAATTTATGAACTATATATCTGCAGATAAATGAGCTATGAATCGCTTTGTATCAATTTGAAATAAACATCAAGTATCTATGAAGCAAATACGAATTCAATGCGAGTCCACGTGGTATGATTTTGATACAATGGGAGCTTTGCATTATACAGTCATTCAGACCATTTTAGCATTTCTTCGCCAATCGACAGTCAAGTCATTCACAGTAGATGTTCGAAACTTTCGCCATTGTCTCGAAGACGCAGCTGCACTTCTTCTTGAAGTACTTATCACGCGGTGAGGAAGATAACTCCTTGAGGAGTGTTTGCACACCTTTCTCTGATATGTCTTTTGTATCGTTCATTACTTTCGACGAAGTAATTGATCGCTCTCGTTATTCTTTCTCTCTCTCTTTTTATGATTATTTATAGCTCAATCACACGAGAATAATCGAAGAACGCGGCGTTGTAGTTTGGTTAGCGATAGCCATTTATCAGTTATAGAAATAAGTTCGCTACCTCAACTTTTCTCAGTTAATGCTTGAAATATTATAGGCTGCAGAAAATCAATCCATCAATGAAATTCGTAATTGCCTTAAATCTTTTACCTTATTTTATGTAACAGAAATGCATACATAAATAAAATACGTATTACACGTTCATTAAACATGCTTACAACAAGTTAATATTATAATAAAAACATCGTTGAATACGTTACGATAAAATTTTAATGAAAAATTATTATAAAAGTCTTGCCATAATGCAAGACAATGCCGATAGATAAAGCGGCGAGGTAAATGGCCTCGGGCGTCTGATCAGAAGAGACACCAAAGTGTTTAATGCAATTATTTTTTAATGTTACACAAAATATTTCATTTTTCTCGCTAAAATTATAAAAAAATATGTAAAAAATAGTTATGCATTTGTATTATCTTCGTAGACTTATTATAATGTTTAGCATTAATGTTTTTGCACACCTATCTTTTTCACTTTAAAGGCTTTGTGTTTCACTACATTCTACTTTATTTTATTTAATAGTTTTAAGCCATTTTCCAAACAATTTTATTATAAATACTATTAGTGTAAAACTTGATTAATTTCATCGTTGAATTTCACTTTAATTGCGACAATTTTTCCCGAAAGGTTAAAAATATATTTTTTATTATATTTTTTGTTGAACACATCTTTGCCAATTTCGAATATTTTTGATTGATTGTTTTTAATGCAATTGCAAGTAATACTTATCGTAATCCATTTAAGCGGTTGCAATAATTACAAAAGCTACAATAATTTTTATTAAAAAGTTAAAAATATATATAGTATTACATTGTTGTAGAAAAACACAACATTTTTGCAATTTGCCAATTTCAAACATACATTAATTGTTACAAAAAAATAATTAATCCCGATAATATGATGGTAAAAATGGATATCTTCAAATTTCAACTGTGTATCATTTTTTTGTCGTGCAATTAATTTGCATTTGACATTCTGTTTGGAATTCTGGAAAAAATAAATTATTAAAATTAAATACTTACAATTTTTTAGATTTAGAAAAGATTTTTTAGATTTAGAAAAGAGTGAAGCTGATTGCACAAAACTCATTTTTTAAATGTCATCTATTGACAGGATAAACTTTTAGTTCAATTCAATATTTTCAAATACTGTTTAAATCCACTTCTGAAATATTCTTCACATATTAAATTGCCGCGTATACATATATTCATTCTCATCTTATGACACTGAAATCTAGTCGCTTTACGTCGGATAAAATTGTATGGATTATCAGCGGTGTCATTCCGGAAATTTAGCGATAATAACAGTTTATCTAGCAGTGGCCTGATAACATTTGCTTACGTCACGCTTGTTAGATGTATGTACATCGTCATCAGCTTCATCAATTCTAACAACTGAGGTTGTGGAACCTTGAGTGATCGAAAGTCATTTCTCATGGTTTCGTTCAGTTAGGTGAAAAATTTCGTTCAATTAGGTGTAAATTTGATCCGCATAATGTTAATGACTTATTAATGACTTATTTTACAACTGATAATTATGTGACATATTTTGCCTTTATCGGTATCGATTAATTGAATCTTAATTCTTCTTAGATTGTATTAGTGATTATAATAATTGTATTAGTGAATATAATACAAAAAATGTCAATATTTATAAGTAGATTTAATAATAGTAAAAACAGATTCTTAAAAATATATCTTTTTTTAAATTTATTTAATGCTGGAAAACAAAATTCAATAAAACGAAGAGATATCAATTTTTCCCAGTGATGTCAAGATTAAATTTTTCGATTTATAAAAATATCATATCGCACTTGTAACTGAAATCTTCCTCCTTCTCGCTCACAGAAAGAAACTGAAGTATCCATCAGTGCTTTATTCTTTGATAAAGAAACTTGGATTCTTCGTTTACGAAAAGTGTCTTCGGAGTTTCGTATTTTCGACTCTGAAATTCTCTTATTGATTTTGCTCCACATTCACGGCTCTCGAATGCTCGCCTATTATTCGTATACTCTCAAGTCCGATCACGTCTTCGAGCAATTCATTGAATAATTGAATAGACAATAGACAGAAAAATCAGTCACATTTGATGAATTATAGAAGTAGAGCATTTCATATATGTTTTATATATTGGAATAAATAATACATTGGAATATATATAAATAATTCGGATTTATTTTGAACAAATAAAACATTGTTGATGGCATAAGTAAATTAATAAATAACTCTCTACTCAAGAATAACTTGGGAATATTGATAAATGAGTAAACTTTTTAAATTAGAAATACTTTTTGAAAGTATCTTGAAAGTATTTATGCAAGGTAAATTAATTGCTTTTGTAATGAGAGGACAACAAGGAAAATTATCACAAGGAATATTCCTTATTTACTTTTTTTATAAATTTAAACATGTATGTTGTATTTATATATATTTAAATATTAGGCTTATATTTCGTTATAAATTATTTTTGTAACACAAAAGTTATCCCTTTTTTTTTTAGAAAACACTTTACAGCAATCAATGTCTCCGTTTTAAAAGTTTTTTTACTACATAAAAGACGTTAAATTCTGCTCTGAATCTTTGTCTGTCAAACATCGAATATTAAAAGGATTCTCCAATGTACAGAAGTAAAATTAAAGATCTTCTTTGTGAATTGCGAAGTTAAAGTGTATCCGTTATTTGATTACAAAAGATCAATCTAAAATTAATATATTTTATTATCTCTTGTTTTCTCATGATATTGGTTCAAAAGAAACCATTTGATTAAAGAAGTTTCAAAAATAAAACACAATTTTGCCGCATATCGACGATATTTCTTATCGAAATGATAAAACATCATGGTCCGATGGTCTTACATTTCCCAGAAAACAATGCATCATGCTATAAAGGAAACTACAAGTAACTTCCCATTCCGCTTTTCAAACATGCAATTTTCTTATCTGATTTTATGCGCCGTCGATTTTAGGAAATGGAGGATTGCGTCTCGTCGACGTCGATTTTTCTGCCGGAGAAAAATAACAGACTTGTCCAAGTTTTACTTATAAAGTTGTCATCTCGTTGAAACTTGGCCATCACGGTTGCTAGGGCAGGCTTCTCGGTCATCATTGGAAAATATCGACATTTGATCTTAAGATAAAACGGTTGATTGAAAAAGTTTTCTAAGGGACACCAAAAGGGAATATAAGGACACCCATGAATTTCAAAGGGATACCTTTCTAATTGCATGACGATATGAATTCCAAGTCGATTTCTTCTTTAGCGAAATTTATTGAGGAAATATCACTTGTCAGAAATTTATTATTTTCAATATCAGTCTATCGAAGCTATTCTTTTAAAAATGCATATGCATTTTTTTGGAATCAGATTTAATTGTATCTTGATAATCAATTTAAACGTCTTGTGCATTTTTCAGAATAAAGTTAACGTACATATTTATTCCGTTGATATTGAAATGATTAAATGTCTCACAATTAGTAAAATCAACATTCGATTTAATCAAATGTGAAATATATTCAAATTCTACGTCTTAATTGTATATTTTGACGTTTAATCCGCGGTTTTATTTATAATATGCATTTATTTAAGTCCACGTGGAACAGAAATACAAAGTAATTAAACTCATTAAGACGTTAAAGTATTTTTATGCTAATGAAGCGTATAATATACACGAGAGAGCGTATCACATTTTTGCGGAACAAAATTGTATTATTTATTCAAATCTCTCTCGAGCCTTTAATTAATCAGAAGCCTTTAATTCTCTGTGTATTGAAAAAAAATTGCTCTTATTTTTTAATCTGTCTAACTCTGTAACATTCTGCACATTTTTTTTTTTGAAAATTTAATTACGGTAAATGTTTGTCGATGTCCGCGTTTGTCGATGTATAATAGTAGCGTCAGACGCATTCGACAAGATCTGTTAATTCTACATTACGCCTGTCGAACGCACTGCATCACGTACTACAAACATCGGTATGTACCAACGCAATTGAACTAATCATTTTTACCGAGACCCAATTAACGACGGTCGCTAATTACATTTCGCGGTTCGCATTATGCATTTCGCTTGTGTTGGTTTTCAGCAAAGTTTACTGTGAGGGACCGCTGCTGAAGACGGTGCAACTCGCTGGGATTTTTAACGACAGCAAGACCTTCGTGGATCTTTACCAGCTTCACGACCCGGATGTAACTGTCAGCAAGTAAGTTGATATCCGTACGTTGATACTGCGGCGCACAAAAGAAGTAACAAACTTAATATCTCGCCCGTTTTTAAAGAATAAAATAAAAATGAATATTTTTGTCCCTTTGTGTTATCGTCGCCTCAATATACTTTCGCAATATTGTATGTACTCTCGCAGGATCTATTTTCTTGCTGCATTTGACGCGGATACGCTTTTGTCGTTTAAAATATTTTGCGCCACTGAAATATTGCATCTTACTGTGGTTGTTTTGCTAAAACAAAAAAAAGAAAAGGATTAGCAATCTTTCGAAGTATGAAGTATTTTGTAGAAACAATATACATATTTTGCAAAAGTTAAATATTATTTTGACCGAACGTTCCAAATGGTCCTTCTACTTTCTTTTCTTCTTCCCTCATTTGAAAAGAACACGGTTCTTTGCATCGTTTTCCATTTTATTTAGATTATCGCGCTTGTATCTGTCGCCAATCTACATTTATACGTCTCGTTGGTCAGATAGCGCAGCAATAGCAGCAATGTTGCTTTGTCTTTTACGGCGGTTAATTTACTCTTTTGTATTCTTTTCCTTACGCGTATAATTAAATCGCTTGGATGCAAATAAAATTATTATTATTATATTGTCTTATAAATTTTTCTGTATACATACATACTACTACTACTTGACAAAGCTTTTTATGCATATATTATTATTTTTATTTTATTACTGTTCTAATATGTTTCTCCAATATTCTTATATTGTTGTCTCGCTATTATTTCTAATAAAGCGAGAAGCAAACACTTTGAAACAACAGGGTATTGCATTTTAATATGTTCGAAAAGCGCCGAGATTGTCTCTTTAAAGTAGAGAGTCAGAGTGCGTTATTTAGGGAGACACGAGAACGGGCTTCGTGATGTAAATTATTCTCGGAATGATTCTTTCTTCTTTTAATATATTCACGAGGCAGAACGACATTGAGAGTGTAATAAAGTTAAAATGATAATAATATAATAAAAAATATAAAAGAAATTAATTTATCTTTTTAAATTGGAATATAAAGTTCTCTTCAGAATTGCAAAGTGACGCATCATATAGTAAAATGAACGGGAATGTTCAGAAATGTGGATAATACAGCTTCGATCGATGCGTTTCTGAGGTCTGTAATTTCGTGTGCATTTGATCATCCGGTTGTAAACACATCACTGGAAGAGCGCGAGAACGTCGCTTTAGGCCCGCTATGCATCGACATAATCAAATTTCTTGGTCGCCCGTGTGAAGAGGGATCTTAATCGCGTCAGCTGCACCGCGGCAGCTGAGAGTAAATACGCGTAGCTTTACTCTCTAAAAGCTCGTACACACAATAGCGACGTGTGCTTGTAGCGAAACCGGAAATTGAATTGGACAATATCGACGCTTATCGTATCGATCGGGAGATATCATATCGCACATTGTTACAGATGATTTTTATTTATAACTTATTTCATACTACTGAAATAGAGACCTTCTGCATCTTTTAGATTATAATAAAAACTATTATTAATTAAATGGAAATTGTAATAAAATAATATCTAAAGCAATCCTAAACAATATATCTCTTGTCTTATAATACACTTACACTTTATGGACAATTTTACACTTTGCAATATTATAATACAAAAAGAATGTATGAAAGAAATTGGTTCACGTATAGTTACATGCGTGTGTACGTGTCGATGCGTGAAATGATGTCGACTGATCAAGGCGCCACAATTACAATCACTCGCGCAACGGTCAATATACTCCTATTACGAGTAAATCTATTGGCCACGTGTCACATGTGCCTCCCGCACATGAGATTCGGAGTCTCTCTCTGCGCTAAACCGCTTTCTACGTAGAGATATTTATGGTTTCTATTTTATGATTATATCTTTGAAATCCGCTTATATTCGATTTGACCTACGGATTTCTTTTTACCGCACAGGATTACGTTTTGAATCGAATCTCTTGCGACTTTATTCTGAACGTGATAACAGCGATATCACGTTGTAAAACACGAATGTACATTAGGATTATCTCGAATGCACCGCGCGAGATTATCAGATTCACATCTGTTTTCACAGATGTGTTATATAATCCTATACAAGCTCATAATTTTGTTCATATCATACGCGTTTTATGTAGGAGAAAGCACAAACGTCATTTCTTTTCTATAAGAGCTGAATAAATATTGATGAAAGAAAAAATAGACATCAAGCTCAGGCAAGAGAAATATTTTTTGTTATTACAACATAAGAACAAAACTGAAATAAGACTTAAAGTGTGATAAGTACTAGTAGTATCGAAAATCGTATCTCTAATTGTTATTATTAACTAGATGTTATGAGTAACAATACGTGCACTAAAATGTATACATACGTGAGAAATTAATATCAATATAAAGTTTTAATCGCTTTTTAAGATAACAAACTTTCGTTATTTTACTTATTGATTTAATAAAGGGTTTTTTGAAAAACAGATTAGAACAGTAATTAAACTCGTTCAGTTTTTAAGGTAAATTTTAAACAAATAATTTTTAATAGTTTAAGCTTTGTTTAATAATATATATATATATATATATATATATATATATATATATATATATTA